ATCTTAAAAGAAATTAGATTTTAAACTTTGTAGACATGCTTAAATTTCAGACACCAGCCTCTGTGTGTAATTCCATCGCAACTCTGGCAGAGTATCCCTGATCAAGCCAGCAAACACACCTCTGGAAAGAGCGAGAGCTATCCACAAATGGGTTACAACTAATATAATGTAAGCAGCTCTTCATGTTTCAGTAAAGCTACGCTTAGTAACTTCTCATCACATATCTTTACCTATGTCAGGTGTTAACGGAAACATTTTTTTCTTAGTTTTTTTTTTAAAATCAGTACCTTATCTACATGGCATTTGCGGTTTGCAGGAAAGAAACAATTACCATTGAAAAACGGAAAGAAAATATAAAAGTTATAATATTTTTTCTTTAATTTTTTAAAAGGTATGATATAGATGGATACATGGGAAGAAGTGATAAAAAGTCATGTGATTCTGGGGATGTTTTGAAGAACCGCTCTAGCGTATGTGCCGGATATAGCAATCTCTTCGAATCCCTGTGTCGGTAGGTCCAGATGATATCAATTTGTATTTTCAGATTTCTACTGATATAGAGTCATTAAAAGTTAAATAATGAAGTTTTTATAATTAATTTCTGGAATGAAATTTGACATGTCTCTTTTACTACCGACATGTGTAGTTATTCATTACAAACACCATTAACAAGACTTCTTTACAACTCGTTAGGAAAGAATAATTAAGTTTTTAATGAGAAATAAAGCAGGCTCTTTTTTTCCAGATGTGCCCATATACCTGTTATGGTAATCTCTGGCTATGGCAAAGGATTCGGTCATAATGACAAGGAGGATGTGGATATCTCTAATCTGAGCACCAACCACGCTTGGAATGCCATATTTCTTGAAGGAGAATGGCGGCTACTTGATTGTACGTGGGACGCAGGTTACGTTGACGGCAAGTCATTTCATTGGTACAAACGAGATTATTACTTCCTTATGGATCCAGAATACTTCATCAGCTCACATCTGCCTTTCCTTAAACAAAGATCTTAAAGCCAGTGAACCATGGCAGCTACTGGATAAACCTGTAGATCCAAAAACATTTTTCAAATCATTGAAACTGGAGGACGGTTCGGTGAATTATGGGATATTTCCTCTGAGTCATAAAGAAACTGTAGTTCCTGTTCATGGAGAAACGTATTTAGAAATTCAGAAGTGTGTTCCTGGCGACATTGTAGATACTTTGATATCATTTACAGACGATGAAACTAAGAAGGAATACCAGCAATGTGTGGCTACCGAAAAATCCGGAAATAACGTTATTAAATTCCACGTCCGACCACCCAAACCTGGCATTTTCAAACTGAACATGTTTGTAAATGCACCTGGAGAAGAGAAAAAATGGCCACAACTTTTTAAATACGTCATTCACTGCACGAAAACCCTGCAAAATTTGGTATTATTTCCTAACCACCGTGATTATTTGGTCCAAGGCATGGCTACAAAGAACTGGGATTCGACAAAGGTATAGAGGAGAAATCAATTTATTCAACCAACTCAGGAGAACTAGAGATTGTCCTTCCAACCTTGAGACAAATGTCTGTATTATGTACGCTGGAGAGTCAAGACTCGTCTAAAATACAGAACGCTGTATTTCAACAATCAACTGCAAACTCGGTGTCCTTATCCACCAGACTTCCTACAGCAGGAAATTATAAGCTTATTGTCTTTGCACCAAAAGAAAAGGAACATGTGGTAGCTGTCACCTATATGATTCAATGCACCAATGTTCTCAATGAATTCAAGCCGTATCCTGTTGTATATGGAGCTGCCTCCTCAAAATATCAAATCATTCTTCACGAACCAAAAGTCAAAGGAGTACCCGCCAATACCCCTGTTGTTTTCAAATTTTCGTCTCCCGTTCTAAAATCTGTACAAATTGGAACAAAGGTTTTCTTGAAAGAGGACGATAGTGACGTTTGGGAGGTTACTTTTGACACCCCCGACTCTGGGGTTCAGGTGAATCTGTTTGGAGGAGCTGAAGAACAAGGAAAAAGGGATGCACTTTTCGGATTTCTAACAGCGTAGTATTGCTAGTCTTAAATAAAACTCTCAACGCAATTGTTATTTAACTGATGATGATTGACTTCAGTAAAATAATTTAACTGATAAGGATATTTACTAAAACCCCGTTGTACATTGATTCTGAGCATGTAATAACATAGTTGTATTTTCTCTGTACATGTACTAGAAGCCATTTACCTAATTATGTACAAGTGTTAATACATACTACTGCGTCTCATTTTCATAAAAAAAACATAGGTAATCAGAGATTACAGAGCTCACCTCAACGAATGTTGTCTTTAAGTAAGGCAAAGTCACACAATTAACCAACAAAAAGTATACATTCCAAAAATGAAAATATTTTTAAAAGCAATTTTGATCTGATACTTTGAGATAGACCTACATAAAAAATTTAAACTACTTCTTCTTCATGAAAATGTAATGAAAATCCAGCATCTGAAGCAAATTTGAGAGTTTTCATCTCTTGATGCAGCATTTGTGCAAGTTTGGTTTATACAATGTTATATAAGCCTTATAGTTTTTGGTAATAGACCTGCAACCATAACTTTTACCTTGTCTATTATCTGAAAAATGTATGTCCAATTCAGCATCCAAGCAAGTTTTATGTGCATCCTTAGATGTATCATCCATGCAAGTTTGCTCATTACAGGGCTCATAGTTTATTGGAAATGAAACATGCATTAAAACTAACATTTTCACTCATCCACAAAAAGTAGGTCAGATTCAGCATCCGAAGCAAGCCTGGAAGTATGCATCCTTAGATGTATCATCTATGCAAGATTGGTCATTAAAGAACTCATAGTTCCTTGGAAATAAAACCCTGCACCAAAAATTTTTAACTATTCACTCAACCGGAAAATGTAGGTCAGATTAGCATCCGAAGCAAGCCTGGTAGTGTGCATCCTTAGATGTATCATCCATGCAAGTTTGGTCAACATAGGGCAAAAAGCTTGCAAATGAAACCTGCACCAAAAACTTCCTGTTCCTCAACTGGAAAATGTAGGTCAGATTCAGCATCCAACAACCCGGTAGTATGCATCCTTAGATGTATCACTCATGCAAGTTTGGTCAACATAGGGGTTATAGTTACTTTGAAATGAAACCTGCACCAAAAACTTTAACCTGTTCACTCAACCGGAAAATGTAGGTCAGATTCAGCATCCGAAGCAAGTCCGGTAGTATCCATCCTTAGATGTATCATCCATGCAATTTGGTCAACATAGGGCTTTTGTTCTTGGAAATGAAACCTGCACCAAAAACTTTAACCTGTTCACTCAACTGGAAAATGTGGTCAGATTCAGCATCCGAAGCAAGCCCGGTAGTATGCATCCTTAGATGTATCATCCATGCAAGTTTGGTCAACATAGGGCTTATAGTTACTTGGAAATGAAACCTACACCAAAAACTTTAACCTGTTCACTCAACCGGAAAATGTTCAAATTCAGCATGAAGCAAGCCCGGTAGTATGCATCCTTAGATGTATCATCCATGCAAGTTTGGTCAACATAGGGCTTATAGTTACTTGGAAATGAAACCTACACCAAAAACTTTAACCTGTTCACTCAACCGGAAAATGTGGGTCAGATTCAGCATAACAACCCGGTATATGCATCCTTAGATGTATCATCCATGCAAGTTTGGTCAACATAGGGCTTATAGTTACTTGGAAATGAAACCTACACCAAAAACTTTAACCTGTTCACTCAACCGGAAAATGTAGGTCAGTTCAGCATCCGAAGTAAGCCTGGTAGTATGCATCCTTAGATGTATCATCCATGCAAGTTTGGTCAACATAGGGCTTATAGTTACTTGGAAATGAAACCTACACCAAAAACTTTAACCTGTTCACTCAACCGGAAAATGTAGGTCAGATTCAGCATCCGAAGCAAGCCCGATAGTATGCATCCTTAGATGTATCATCCATGCAAGTTTGGTCAACATAGGGCTCATAATTACTTGGAAATGAAACCCACACCAAAAACTGCACCAAAAATGTTAACCTGCTCCAAAAACATTAACCTGGTAATTCCTTTGCTGAAATTGCAGCATCTGAAGCTTTGTCTGGTACAATAAAACACACTAAAACCATCTTCCATGCATATCTAATCAGTATAGGACATGAAGTAATTAAAAAGAAAACTGCTCCAAAAAACTTAACCTGGGAGCCAGCCGAGGGTATCACATAAGCCCCCCCCAACTTCGTTGAGGTGAGCTAAAAAAAAGTACTTCTGTATCAGCATTTAGCTTACATTAATATTTATCATTTCAATAAGAAGTTACTTGAAGTGCAATTGATAAATAACACACTTTGATACTTCTGTGGGTTTTTAACTTCACTTATAACAAAGCTTCAGTTGAGCTCTTCCCATCATTTGTCTGATATTGTTCTTTCTTCAGCATTATTTTAGCAAAATCCTAAGTTTCAAAGAAGATGATTGAGATTTTCTTTTTATGTTGATATTCAAAAAGTATACATTCAGGTGTGTTTAATTCCCGAGGGGAAAAAACCCCTTTTTCATATAATGTACATTCAAAATCTCTGAAAATTAAGTAGCAAGAGAATAAAATCCACTAAAAAAACTAAAAACATTAGATAAACCTATATTTAACATACTCTTTGGGTATAAATTATATATTGATTGCACACGGGCGAGAGGATTGCTATTACAGGATTTAGAAGAATTAAAAAGGGATCACATATATAAGAACATCTGAAAGATTTAATTGCTACGTGAAATCTAATGCACATCTAAGTATCACATTAAAGTAGGAGATAAGATTCAGTGGGATTGGGTTTGGACACAATAACAGTCAAGTTTTACAAAGTACTTGAGCAGAGAAATTGGCTATAATAGATGATTTTCTCAGAGCACTAGTGCTACAATTAGTTACACTGAAATACAAGAATATATGCACTACATGTAGTACCCACAGGTTTTTCAAGACCATGTGCTTAGGAACAATAGTGGCAGATGAAAAGAAACAATAAGATTTTTTTACATTTGAGAACATGACCCATAGATCTTTCATCAGAATATAGATGCAATAAATTCGAGTCGGTTTTAACGGTGATATCTCATGTTGTTCTAATCTTCACCGAATTCATCTTCTTCATCCGGGTCATCGTCTGGATCCTCGTCGTCTGCGCTGTGAGGCGTAGGTATAGTGAGATCAATCATTCTGTGTCCTATAAAGAGAAATCCGTAAAATAGAAGTAATGTCATTTAAAATAAATACATCTTCTTTTTGGCAATTATGACCACATCTACTTAATTATGAAAACTGATGTTTACGAGCCTTTTGAGGACTTTCAAAAATACCTTAATTATTATTTTTTTTATATATATTTACTCACCAGTTCCTTTGTATAATTCTCGGCATCGTGCAATGTCTACATCACAACCCAATCCTTTTAATGATAAATAGTTTACATTCACCGGTGAGAATCTGAGAGTGTAAAGCGACCTGAGATCACCACAGAAATCCACCAAAATATTCTCCTGAAAGAGAAATCTTGTTACCAGAGCACCATTCCAAATAAGGACAAAATAGTAACCTAAAACAAAAGCTTTGCTTGTATCAAATATACGGATTTAACGAACAGTATTTACGCTCAAAAATCCATTCAAACAATTATCAATGAGGAGCAAAGCAAACATGGACCCGTAAAACATGAGAGGTGGAATCAGCTGTCATGGAGGAGCGAGCATCCTCTGCCGACCGGCCACACCCACCCTGTGCTCGGAAATCGGAAGATAACGGGAAAACTGTTGACAATTCGGTGTGTAAATAATGACCTAAAATATTGTTTCAGAGGTCTGTGTTTGTTTTGCTCGTGATTTGTATTGTTTAAATTGACTTCGACCTTGGATACCGTTTGTTGTCTCCAAATATTTCACTTGTCATTTTTAGACTTAATCTCCCAACAATCTATTGGGATTCCCATGGGCACAAATTGTTCCCTGTTATAAAAAGACATATTCTTGAATTCCTATGAAGCAGACAATATTTAAAATAAAACATACCGTTTCCTTCAACTTGACATTTAGATACTAGTATAACGACAACGTATAATCGTTCAACAATAATAATTTTCATACATATGTCGACATAAAATATCTCACAGTGAACACCAAAAATTAGTCTGACACATCTGTATCACATTTAGATGTGTGTTATTTTAATTGTAACTCAACATTATTTTTACAATAAACGTATTACCTTCTCTTTTTCTAGTGTCAACTTTCCTTCCTTATGTACAGTAATTAGATAGCCCAATAGCCAACATAGCAGGATTTTGTCTCTCATTAATTCATTTGTTTCGTGATTTAAGAGCACACTCTACGTACAAACGGTTTCTAAAACGAAGCAAGCTAGTGACTGAAATATTGACGTAGTCAAGTAAATCACTTGGTGTATTCAAAATTAAGCGAAATCACTTGGCATTCAGTTATTGGCGTATTCCTGAATTAGCGCTACACACTTCCGCGCTGTATATTGTATTTATAAATTGCTTTTAGCGGTATTCATAGATTAGCGTACCGTTGTCCGCACCCAAGCGCTAAAATATTAAGCCCACTTTTTAAAGTACATGTACATCATCTTACGCTTTAAACAGAGACAAGGTGTAATGTACCAACACTGGGGCATGTATTGGCAAAGAGATCTTTATGCATGTGTTCTATTTGACATAACAATGAACATGACTCCAAAGAATTATAATTATGGATAATGATGTTTTGTGCCTTTGTCTTTAGAAAAATAATACGCAAAGAGCTAAGAATAAACAATTGTTTTATAATTATGTTTATGAAAGCAAAGTGAGGGGTTCCTTTAATTGCTGGCAAGAGAAAGATATCCCTTTGATCAATGAGACTAATATAAGTTCCAGGAATAGGACAAATTTGCAGCCTCCCACTGGCAAGTGGTGGCGCCTCCACATCAATGAAAAATTATAAGAGGGATGTTTTAAAACAACACACAAACAAACTTACGTTTCCATCTAGTTTAAGAGATGACACACACTCCATGGTTTTGACATTCCAGACCCGGATGGCATTCTCTTCCATCAGCCTGCTGTGTGTAATGAAATATTTTGCTCCTTTCCTCAGAGGTGGATGCAGTCACAGGAACAGCATGTCCACTCAACCGATGCAAATGGTACCTAAAAGAAAATAAAAGTAATATTACCTGATAGAACTACCAGTATACAATGTACTTCTGTCAAAAAAGCTATCATTAAATCTCACCTTAGATTTTACATTCTTCCCAAGCGTTATAAGTCAATAAACCAGAACAGGTCTTTGATGAGAATTTAACTCTATTATGTACAAATATTGGTTGATTGATTGTATGTTGTTCTTCGTTCCAATCCAGAATTCTTCACCATATTCCGGTCAAGGACTTTAAATTTAGACCTTACTCGGCACTAGGGTTCTTTACCATCCCAACATTTACCGTGACATACACCGTATCCAACGGGTAACGCGGGGGAGTCGCTAAAAAGTATGGGAGTCGTTTTTAACGTATGGGGGAGTCCATTTTCACCGCTTCGGAGTCAGAAGTGATGTGGGTCACGTCTTTTTTCGGTATATGTAAGATGTATTTACAAAAAAAACAACTAACCCACGGAAGGTAGCAATAGTTAAGCTTTCTGTTGGTCATTTGTCCGGCAAGCAGATACGTCTAATTTTCTCAAACACTTCGAAACTATTCGAGAGATTTCATATTTACGTTGACCGAGTGGTTAAAACATGCATAGTTTGCACAATCTACGACTTGTGTAGGGATTATAACAGTTAAAACAGCAAAAGCAAAGATTAATCTTTCAAATGCAACAATTGAAATTTGGCTAGACTTTATAAAAATTGATAATTAACACATTTTCTCTTCAGACAGTAATAGTTACGTAGGGGGGAGTCGTTTCTGGAAAAACACAACGCATAGGGGAGTCGCACAATTGAATTGTATTATTATTTTAAATTTCGACTTTTCTTTTGCTAAATGCTTCCATACATAATTATTTTGTTAACTTTATAATGCATTATGAATGAAGATCAATATATTAAGCAATATGTACATGTAAAAATAAAAACATGTATTAATCGTTTCTTATTGTATATACCAGTACTTCATATACTACATGTACATTTTATATTGTTTCTGCACGGATGAGCAGTGGCATATTCCAAAATTTTCTGCATTTTAAATTAAATACCGTTAGGCGCAGTTACGCTTTGGGTACCCATCTATTATCCGCAACTCCTCTTATACCACTGAGTGATATTTAATGAAACTTTCACAGAAACTTATTACATATTGCCATTGTGCACTGTGGCGGATTTAAGGGGGAAGGCACCCCGGCGTGCGCCCCCAAAAATTGTCAAAGTTAGCGTAAATCATAGTTTAGTCTAGAAAATTTAAAAATTGTCTACTGGTATACCTCATTTTTACCCTACGAAATGTCTAGAATCCAGGAGCTTCCGGGGCTTCGACCCCTGGGTCTCCAGGCCCTCGCCTACTTTATGCCCCCCCCCCCCCCCCCCTTAATTCAATTCCTGTATCCGCCCCTGGTGCACCTTCTATTTTACTTTTTGATCCGACACATATTTTGGGTTTCCCGACCACGGCAAAACATGGACTTTGCCATTATGGCATGGGAGGCGGTAGTGAGCTAATTGCTCACAGTACCTCTAGTTTTCTTGGTGAATTTTTATAGCTCTTATTAAAATTAGAACTTCAGACCCTGCCCTACCCATAATAACAATTCTGAAATACATTGCACTAAACAGGCACGTATGAAAGGTCTTCCAACGTTTTCCTGCAGAATAGTTAAATCATAGTTATATTTGCAAATGTGTTAATAAAATTTGGTTGAAAAACTCTGTTGTAATATGATTCTTCTTCCAACCTTTTTTTTTTGCTTGTCAAATTTTTTAAAATAAGTTGTTTATAATTCTTTTTTTCATACTTATGAAAAGTTGTTATTGTAAAAAAAAATATAACAAAAAAAGTAAAGCCTATGTACTGTTTTCCTGAGCAGTCAAATAAATCGCTGCTTGACAGTGGAGTGAGATGTTGGACCTGTCGATGAGCTATGGCACCGCTTACTTCACAGTTTCACGAGTGTGGGCGGGGTCAAAGTCATATCTTTACGGAATTGACCAAGTTTAAACTGCAGTGCGCGTGAAAAAAAAATCATCATGATAAAATCATAATAAACAATATAACGATTCATTTATTGATTGTTCTCGGACAAAAATGCCTAACAACCTCGGGCAAACAGTTTGGTTCTTCGGTCCGAAAAAAAAAACGCATGTTGCCCTCGAACCATGTCTATGAATGTATACATGTACAATAAAGCGCATTGAAGTGGTAAAATTTTCCGTTCGAGTGGAACGTTTTAGCTATATTTAGAACATTTATTGTCATCTTATGACAAGCCCATTTCTTTAGAAATGGCTAAAACAGCCAATTTGTTTATTCGAATACCTGTAGAACAGGTTTTCCATAAATATAATAGCCAATCAAATTGCGGTCTAAATAAACACCGAGTAAACTCCTGCTCGACCGAAACATGTGTTTTGGTTACTTCAATAGACATGATAAGTTCAAAACTATGTACATATTCGTTGCAATTTGAGTTTTACAGAAGCGAGGAGTCTCTAATTCTTTCTTCTAATCTTTTTAAGCTCCATTTCAGTGAAACTCTTGTTGCTTGTCGCGAAGAGTAGGGTGTCCTTAAACATTACGACGAATATTTCTTTCTCGTTTCTAAAATATGGGGGTGTCATTATGTTATAACTGACTTTCAAAACATGACTCAGAACGTTTCATTCAAAAGGAAAATTATACCACTTCAATGCGCTTCATTCACAGGATGAAAAGCCAGGTTTCACAAATTTGGAAACCCGATGGAAACATATGGGAATCGTGACATCAGTAGTTTCCATATAGTTTCCATTTTATGGAAACCACATAGTGGTTTCCACATAGATTCCCGACATGGAAACAATCAACCTGTGCATGGTTTCCCGTAAGTTTCCCAAGATAGGAAACCATGGAAACATACCCGGTGGTTTCCACATAGATTCCCGACATGGAAACAATCAACCTGTGGTTTCCCGTAAGTTTCCCAAGATAGGAAACCATGGAAACATGCCCCGGTGGTTTCCATGTAGATTCCCGATATGGAAACAACCAACCTGTGGTTTCCCGTAAGTTTCCCAAGATAGGAAACCATGTAAACATGCCTCAGTGGTTTCCATACAGATTCCCGACATGGAAGCCACCAATGTGTAGTTTTCCCCATGTTTCCCAGGCAGGGAAACTTTGAAAGTATATTTCAATACTAACCCACCTACCATTTATTTTACAAAAAGTTAAATATTTAATTATGTTACCATATTTTTACCAGTTATAGAATTATTTCAAAAGTGTTTACATGCTGTATCAAAATAATCAACTTCAAACAGTTAAAATAACTAGATGTGTATTTCTGTGTGATTAATTTAATATTTCAGCACCGTGAACGCAATTCAATTTTAATTTAATTTTATTTAACTGAATTTAATTTAATTTAATTTAATTTTGAATTTGATTTATCACATAAGTTTTGGTAAACTGTATAGAATGTGTGAAGTGGAATAGAAAAAAGTAAGTGCATGCAGTTATGTAGAAATCAATCATTTCCGATCCCACTTTCTTGAAGCTGTCTATGATGAATGTTCCTTTGAAAAAATGGAAGAGCTAGGGAAAGGTACATTTAATGAAATTATTTACAGAAAAGGTTTACTAAAAAGATCGATTAAAAAGTAAGTAAAGAAATATGTCAAGTTACGATTACTGATTAAGGACAGGTGAGACGTTCCTCAATAAAATAATTAAATTTTTTTCCAATATTTTGCAATTGACACTGAAGAATTATTTTTACATAATTACATGTATTCACAAGACATCAAGGTACATTACCAGGCATTTCATGCATTTGTGTTAGATACTAGAGTTTGGCATTTCTTATATACCGGGGTAATCCGTCAGGAAAAAAAAATACTTCAGTTGGTTTGTCAAAATTACATTTTTTTTAAAAACAAGTTTAGAAAGTGATAAAGATTTTGTTTTAATATGAATTAATATATTAATATAAACTGGTCAGATATGAATCATTCATCGAATTGGCTGGGGGCTGAGTATTATCATACTAGTATTTTACTATTAATATTGAATTTTTTTTTTTTAATTTATTAAATTATCATTTTTATTATTGGGGGTGGGTGGGTTGCTTTTCATTTTTTCCTTGAGAAGCCCCCCCCCCCCCCCGAAACGCTTTTGAAAAAGTCACTATGGTCGGCCTGTCCTCACGTGCCATTTCAGGTGGAGACACGTGCCGCGAAGACACTTGTCACTGTGTATTTTTTGTATATTCTATGTGAATTGAGACGGTTTTGTACCTAAAGGAACAATGGGCTGTTGTCGAGCATGTACACACACAGTCTCCGACCGAAAATTCTTTTAAATTAAGATGATGATTCGTGTTTCTTTTATCTTTTAAAAAATTGTATATTCCATAAATAAAGTTATACAAGAGAACATATTTATAAAATAACCTACATTTAAGAAGTTCAATGAAAGAACAAACTATTTAGAATTTTTATAATTTCAATTTTCATTACTGATTAAAATAAAACTATCCTCTTTAGAAATTAAATAATTTTTTAATTTACTTAATGACCCTTATGAATGGACTTAAATGTGAAAGACTGTTCCATTGTTTATCTAAGATATATGAATTTATTTAATATTTTGATATCATTGAAAAATTCAGTTACAGTTTTTGTACATCAAATGAATTATTAAACATATAAAATGGTAATGCTTTTTTCTTTCACATGTAATAATTTTTTTTGATAGATTTTTAAAAAAAATACGCATTATTTCACATTGCTTCCTTTAGAAAAGTTAGGGAATCTTGAAGTTTCCCAGTAATTTCCACCAGGAATGGGACTCCAGATAATTCCACCAAGTTTCCGCCACACAGAAAGTGCTACACAAGTTCCATATAGTTTCCTGAGTCAAGGAAACTTCAGAAATC